ATTGGGATTTGATTTGAAATGTGACCACTGGTATTCATATTTTTTTTTCTGTTTCCTATCAGGCCATCACACTTAAGGTGCTCCCGGTGGCTGTTTCATGTGCGGCTGGCGGATTGCCTGACGCAGAGATCCGGGCACTGAAAATCCGGTTAACCGCCACGGAGGCACAAGTGTTGGAGCTGACAGAAGAGCGTGCTGCCATGAGGTTGGAGCGCGCTGCCATGAGGTTGGCACAGCAGACTGCAGAGTCGGAGCGCGCTGCCATGACGGTGGCACAGCACACTGCAGAGTCGGAGCGCGCTGCCATGACGGTGGCACAGCACACTGCAGAGTCGGAGCGGGTTGCCATGACGTTGGCACAGGTTGCCATGAGGTTGGAACTGCAGCAGCACCTGGACACACAGGTCCAATCCAGGCGACGGCTGTTTGAGTTACCTGTGGGAGACGCAGACCCACAGCCTCTACAGGCAGAGGTGCCAATTCCAGCGGTCACTGGAAGCGGTCACTTCCGGTCGGAAGCAATACCACGACCGTCGCACACACCTGATGCGCCCACCCTCCTCAGAGCAGTTTCCGCGGCTCGCGAGGACAAGTTCTTCGAGGACTGCTTTCGCAGTGGACAGCATCGCCCAGAGAAATTTGCGGGTGATATGTTCATGGCCATGTTGCCATTTCACTCATATGAGACCATGGCAAAAGTCACCAACTGGAGTGGGAGCAAAGGGAAAATGCCTCTTCCCCCTCAATGTGAGGCAGACACTTGAGTCCAGTGTCTCCCGTCGGTTCCCAGGCCTGACCACGGACCAGTGGTATAAAATTAGGAACCGGGTAAACGAGAGACTGAGGAGCCCAAGAAAAACGGATCCAGAAACACCTCGCCCTGGTTACAACCACAGATAGATTCAACTGTAGATAGGCCAAAAATAGGCATACTGTAGATAGGCCGCAGATAGGCATAGTTTGTTCAATATAGGACCATAAGATTAGGATTTATTGTAGATTATTTAGTTAAATAAAAGCATGGTGATGTTTTATAATATAAGATTAGGATTTATTGTAGATTAATTTGTTAAATAAAAACATGGTGATGTTTTGTAAATGTATGATCCTATCTGAAAAAATATTAATACTCCTAAAATAAATGGTAGACATATCAAATTGTTTCCTCTTTGTATTTGTTTTATTATTTTCTCATCTGTGATGGATAAAGAAAGTAATCTGATTACGTTACTTTTTTAAAACACGTAACTGTAACTGTATTCGGATGCTTTCAGAGCCATGTATTCAGTAATCAGTAACTGATTACATTTACAAAGTAACCCTCCCAACCCTGTTCATAAAGTGTTTCTAGGATTTCTAAACGAACTATGACAGCTGTCACTACCCGATCCGTTCGCCTGCCCGATCGGTACTGCGCATGTGCGAGATGGTCCGCCAATTGGGTTCTTTTATTTGGGGTTAAGTACATTGTCAGAATAAGTGAGAAATGGATTTAACTTCTGTTAGACAGTGTTGATAATTTGTGATCTTCTCGCTCCCAGGAAAGAAACTTAAAATAACGAGACTAATGGAGTCTCTGAAAAGGTTCAAATGGGTAGTTTAATTAAGTAACGTGGTTAAAGAACAAGCATGGTGAATGGAGAGACAAAGCCGGTGTTGTCTTGAGGGAGGCTGCAGCGAAGGGAAGAGACTGAGTTATCTTTCGTCCTGCCTTTTTATCCACGTCTCGTTGTCCCCCGCTGTGCAAATAGTGGGTGGCCCCCTACTCATTTGCCGGTTCGATATCGCGAGAGCACAGATGATTTCGACATTGATATTCTCTGCCTACTTCCTTAAGCATTTTCTCCTCATTATCTCTGTCATGACTTTCTATTTAATACCTTATAAACAGCTGTAATACTTAGTTTAGAAGTCCTAGTGGTTCCGCTCCGGCACAGTTCTTATTTTACGGAAATTCCCTCTGACGTCATAGCTTCTCACGTATCTGTAAACACTACGATCAACTAGACCTTCATTTAATATTCAGCAGTAATAATATCTTAACGTCTATCGATGTAGTGTTAAAGTCCGTACGTTTGTGTGTAACACTCCAAGTCATTTTCACTTTACATTCAGAAAACGCAACATTAGTCACAAGCTAACCGGATAAAGGATTTTTCAGAATAAAAGCTTGGCATTGATTTCCTGAGAACTTCCGGGCTTTTCCACAATAAAACAGCTTTAAACTGACGATATGTTTTAGACTGAATTATGCTGTTTAACATTGATTTTAATTTCTAACAACAGCTATCATACTGAATACATATGTATGCAAAAATGTATGGCATTAATATCCTAATAAGACTCACCTAATTAACTAACTAATAATTAACTCACCTAACTCACCTAATAAGATCATAAGACTCGCGCATGCGCAATGCATATTCGCATATTGGCCAGCCGCCTAGACGGTCGAGACGTCAAGTGTCCTAGTTGGGTTGCAGTTGTCACTACCCGATCCGTCCACCTGCCCGATCGGTACTGCGCATGTGCATATTGCTCAACTCCGTACGGCAACCCAACTAGGACACTTGACACAGTGGCTTTTGGCAAAGCACACAAAGAAAACAAAAAAACCCGAGAGAGATGAGTTATTGTTATTACAACGTGACTTCACTATTATTTAACAACTATTTTTATTGGGTTCTTTTATTTGGGGTTAAGTACATTGTCAGAATAAGTGAGAAATGGATTTAACTTCTGTTAGACAGCTATCATACTGAATAAATATTTATGCAAAAATGTATGGCATTAATAATGTATATCTAATTACATTTAAAAACGTATGGCATTAATAATGTATATCTAATTACATTAACTGTGAATGTCTTTCATTTGATTTAAAATGAAATAAAATTACATAAAACATTTTCCATAAAAAAGTTGATTCAAGAACAAATCAGTACTTTTCTTATATGACTATTATTGCTAAATTTGAAAGGTCTTTACCAGCTTTGGAATTATATATATATATATATATATATATATAGCACCTTCTGCCATCCCATCTCTATATATAATATCTATCCGTGACATATGGATCTTAACAAAGATCCGCTATACATTAGTACCAGATATACTGTACACGGACATTTTTAGTGAACCAGACCAGCTGTTTCCGCCGGGTCTTCGCTTCCCGGGCATCACGTTGTTTACAAGTGTGTTCAGATGCTAAATGACAAGTGCAAGTGACAATTGTTGTCGTCTTCTCTGTGAACGTTTTTTTCTCCGTTATTTTGCCATTTTCAGATTTAAATTTCGAGCGGAAAGCTAACCAGGAAGTAATAATTACTTAAGCGGAGAACGGAGAAAGTAAACGTTACAGCAGGCATAACAACAGCCGGTGTTTATTTTATTATAATATATATCATTTGTTTTAAAGCTCAATATATAGTTCTATCCGTGACATATGGATCTTAACAAAGATCCGCTATACATTAGTACCAGATATACTGTACACGGACATTTTAGTGAACCAGACCAGCTGTTTCCGCCGGGTCTTCGCTTCCCGGGCATCACGTTGTTTACAAGTGTGTTCAGATGCTAAATGACAAGTGCAAGTGACAATTGTTGTCGTCTTCTCTGTGAACGTTTTTTTCTCCGTTATTTTTGCCATTTTCAGATTTAAATTTCGAGCGGAAAGCTAACCAGGAAGTAATAATTACTTAAGCGGAGAACGGAGAAAGTAAACGTTACAGCAGGCATAACAACAGCCGGTGTTTATTTTATTATAATATATATCATTTGTTTTAAAGCTCAATATATATATATGTCTTCGCTTCCCGGGCATCACGTTGTTTACAAGTGTGTTCAGATGCTAAATAAAAGTTTAGCTTGTACTTTTGATACCCCGCCTCTCGGCACCACAACATCCAGTTTACTGTATTTCACATGAGCGATGTCGAACATTGAAAAGTCCTTATAAAATCTCTGTTATTAGATCAGTACTTTTCTTATATGACTATTATTGACTTGAACACTGAGAATGTATTTATTAACTTCAGACATTTGAAATATTTGAAATCAGATGAAAACAAACTGTAACGGACCCTGCCGTGTTATCTATGATTACTATGCCTTACTGTACATTCATAATTTCAGCCGGAGGTAGGCGTTGCGGAGGAGCAGATTGCGAGTGAGGTGCCTGTTCTAAACGAACTATTCCAGCTGTTATAAAGCATTAAATAAAAAGTAAGCAAGGAATACAGAATGTTTCGTTACGTAACTTTGTTGAGAATGTGGCCATGTACATGTAATACATGGGATCATTTGCAGCGACTTGGTCATTGTGGGGAAAAATAACACCCATCCTGATCGTTTCAATGAAGTTGAATACAGAATATTCATATTTGTCAGTGATTTCATGTCAATTCGGCGAACATAAACATCAATGATGATGATTAAATTAGGATTAAAAATCGGGAGAGCCGGCTCGTTCGTTTTTTCCGACTAAACAACATCTATTATTTAGAAGTTGATTTCACATGACTCCAGTGTGGAACTCCACTGCACCCCCTGGTGGATCAATGATCCATTGCAGCTGGCTTCACAATAATTAAATGTATTTATCATGGGGGCGGTATCAAGTCTGACTGGGGGCTGGCCGGCCATCACGGAACGTGCACGAACCGATCACGACCCTCGCACTTTAAACTGTCCAAAATAAGACGCTGCATCTGTATATTAGATAAATAGTTAGCAAGATGCAAACGGATGAATGTTTGTGGATGTTCTTTCAAAAGTTCAGGTGTTTAAGCAGCTGCAGCCTGATGTGATGTGTCTCCTGTTCGTCTCTTGGTCCCAGGGTTAGGTCCATAGCTATTACCTGTAAGAGCAGCTGCAGCCTGATGTGATGTGTCTCCTGTTCGTCTCTTGGTCCCAGGGTTAGGTCCATAGCTATTACCTGTAAGAGCAGCTGCAGCCTGATGTTATGTTGTATATGTTCTCTCTCTTGTTCCCAGGCTCCTGTCCTCCAGGTTTCTTTCTGTGTGAAAATGGCGGTTGCTTCTCTACGGCTCAGAGCTGTGATTTCACGGATGATTGTGGCGACGGCTCTGATGAAATGCATTGTGGGACTTCCTGCACCTTTGAGCACGGACGCTGTGGCTGGAAGAGCTCCGTGGCCGACAATTTTGATTGGACGCTGGGGAGGGGGTCTTTGAAAAGCATCCGGCCGCCGAACGATCACACGCTGAGCGACGAACGAGGTGCCGGTTTATTTTTTGTATATTTTATTTTTTATTTGCATACCATCAAACCATACAAGTATGCACTTAAACACAACATTTAAAAACGAGGAATTTATATTTATTAAAATGGAATTACCCAGGGTTCCTCTGGAAAGTACTGAACCAATTGTACTCATACGGCAATACAGTTAAACATAAATACAAGTGTGTGTGTGTGTGTGTGTTTAAAAAGTGACAACGTTATCAACACAACTGAGCTTACGTTAAAATTATAACACATGTCAATAACAAGTAGCTAGCTTGTTCAATTAGTCTTATTCAACTCATATAACACCAGTAGTACACCCTAATTATGCCCATACTACACCAGTATCATACTGTTATTATACCCGTAATTACACTGTTATTAGACCCGTAATTACACTGTTATCAGACCCATATCACACTGTTATCAGACCCATATCACACTGTTATTAGACCCGTAATTACACTGTTATCAGACCCATATCACACTGTTATCAGACCCATATCACACTGTTATTAGACCCGTAATTACACTGTTATCAGACCTATATTACACTGTTATTATACCCATTATTACACTGTTATTATACCCATTATTACACTGTTATTATACCCATTATTACACTGTTATTATACCCATTATTACACTGTTATTAGACCCATGTTACACCAATATTTCCCCCATAATACACCGTAATTAAACTGTTATTACACCCTAAGTAACACATGTTAACCAGCTCCATAAGAGGTCGCTAGCTAGTTCCCTTAGTTGTTAATATCATTATCATAAGTTCCCTTCTATGGTCCGTCTTGTGACGTTGATTTAAGATATATATTTGTTAAATAAGCTGTAAATTAAGCCTCGGATCAAATGTGTTAACTTATGTTACCTTTATAAACAATTTATCAATGTTGACGTCATGTAGGCTAATGTTAGCACGTGTAAATAAGGCTAACAAACGTCAGGTTTAACATTTCCAAACTACAGATATTAATGTTAAAGAGACACAATAAATACAATAAATGTCTTTGATAAACAGCAGGACAATTAAATTCATATTTTAAATTACCTGAATGTAATCAGCGAGAGAACTAGGACCTCTCTGTTGCAGGAAATACATCTAGCTTGGATAACCAACTAAAACGCATATTTCTTATTAAACCATCAAATAATCCAACATTTTAACACTTTCTTATATCCTCATAATAAAGGAAGTTCATTTCTCTTCTCCTCTTGGATCTTCCATCGAGTGCAGCTCCACTTCTTGGAGGTTTCGTACCCTCTCAGTAATGAAACTGACTTTCAAATGTCCACCTGTTAGTGTGCTGTGCTCCATGTTTAATTCATGAGCCAATCAATGAGCTTCTCCCCGGCGTGTGAGAGCAGCTTCTCTCTCTCAGGTGATTGATGCCAGGGCTGAGAATCCATTATCCTGCGTGCATGGTAAAGAGCGCATGAATAAATAAACACGCATGTACATTTCTCTGAACGTATGCAGGTGTTTTATTGCTCTTATTGTGAGCTTCTTCAGGTCATTTCCTCTTCCTCTAACCCTCCTCATCATCCTCTCCTCTCTCTTCAGGTCATTTCCTCTTCCTCTAACCCTCCTCATCATCCTCTCCTCTCTCTCAGGTCATTTCCTCTTCCTCTAACCCTCCTCATCATCCTCTCCTCTCTCTCAGGTCATTTCCTCTTCCTCTAAACCCTCCTCATCATCCTCTCCTCTCTCTTCAGGTCATTTCCTCTTCCTCTAAACCCTCCTCATCATCCTCTCCTCTCTCTCAGGTCATTTCCTCTTCCTCTACCCTCCTCATCATCCTCTCCTCTCTCTCAGGTCATTTCCTCTTCCTCTAACCCTCCTCATCATCCTCTCCTCTCTCTCAGGTCATTTCCTCTTCCTCTAACCCTCCTCATCATCCTCTCCTCTCTCTCAGGTCATTTCCTCTTCCTCTAACCCTCCTCATCATCCTCTCCTCTCTCTCAGGTCATTTCCTCTTCCTCTAACCCTCCTCATCATCCTCTCCTCTCTCTCAGGTCATTTCCTCTTCCTCTAACCCTCCTCATCATCCTCTCCTCTCTCTTCAGGTCATTTCCTCTTCCTCTAACCCTCCTCATCATCCTCTCCTCTCTCTCAGGTCATTTCCTCTTCCTCTAACCCTCCTCATCATCCTCTCCTCTCTCTCAGGTCATTTCCTCTTCCTCTAACCCTCCTCATCATCCTCTCCTCTCTCTCAGGTCATTTCCTCTTCCTCTAACCCTCCTCATCATCCTCTCCTCTCTCTTCAGGTCATTTCCTCTTTCCTCTAACCCTCCTCATCCTCCTCCTCCTCTCTCTCAGGTCATTTCCTCTTCCTCTAACCCTCCTCATCATCCTCTCCTCTCTCTTCAGGTCATTTCCTCTTCCTCTAACCCTCCTCATCATCCTCTCCTCTCTCTCAGGTCATTTCCTCTTCCTCTAACCCTCCTCATCATCCTCTCCTCTCTCTCAGGTCATTTCCTCTTCCTCTAACCCTCCTCATCATCCTCTCCTCTCTCTTCAGGTCATTTCCTCTTCCTCTAACCCTCCTCATCATCCCTCTCCTCTCTCTCAGGTCATTTTCCTCTTCCTCTAACCCTCCTCATCATCCTCTCCTCTCTCTTCAGGTCATTTCCTCTTCCTCTAACCCTCCTCATCATCCTCTCTCTCTCTCTTCAGGTCATTTCCTCTTCCTCTAACCCTCCTCATCATCCTCTCCTCTCTCTTCAGGTCATTTCCTCTTCCTCTAACCCTCCTCATCATCCTCTCCTCTCTCTTCAGGTCATTTCCTCTTCCTCTAACCCTCCTCATCATCCTCTCCTCTCTCTTCAGGTCATTTCCTCTTCCTCTAACCCTCCTCATCATCCTCTCCTCTCTCTTCAGGTCATTTCCTCTTCCTCTAACCCTCCTCATCATCCTCTCCTCTCCCTCAGGTCATTTCATCTACCTGGAGGCCACACCTGTCGGCCTGAAAGGAGACAAAGCTCACATCCGCAGCTCCGTTTGGAAACAGTCCGGCGCCATCTGCAAGCTCTCCTTCTGGTACTACATTTCCCACAAGGCACTGGGAACCATCCGCCTGCTGATCAAGGTAAAGTGTGTGTGTGTGTGTGTGTGTGTGTGTGTGTGTGTGTGTGTGTGTGTGTGTGTGGTGTGTGTGTGTGTGTGTGTGTGTGTGTGTGTGTGTGTGTGTGTGTGTGTGTGTGTGTGTGTGTGTGTGTGTGTGTGTGTGTGTGTGTGTGTGTGTGTGTGTGTGTGTGTGTGTGTGTGTGTGTGTGTGTGTGTGTGTGTGTGTGCGGCCGAGGCCGTTTTATGCAATTTACAAAACACAATTCAGCAAGTTATCATGAAAATGTGTGTGTGTGTGTTTTTCCCTTCAAACAGCGAGAGGTGGTTCCTCTTCCCTGCAGAGTCTGAATGTCATTATACTTACAAAATAGCACACTGTCTTATCCAGCAGCTAAGTCAAAGCAGAGGAAATATTACTCCTTCAGGAGGTAAAAGCTCCACCAGGGTTTACAACGGGCTTCAAAGGGTTCGTTTTTAATGATCAGCTGATGCAATTAACATGAAAACAAACCATGGATGGATTCGAGTTAACACCTTTGTTTTTATAGCTTCTTTCATGCAAGTAATAGACCAATAAAACCTCTTATATGAAAACAATAAGGTCAACAAATCCCCTGTAGTGTCAAAGCTGTAAATACAGTTTTATGATTTCTATTCTAAAGATATCCGTCTATAATTCAATGGAGTGTAAAATGTTTGAGAAAAGTACTGATACATTTTGGCTTTTCCAAATCCATCTAGAATCAGAATGCTGTTGTTAAGATGACTTGCAGGAAGCTGCCATTTGATAATCATCTGAATGGGTTTTTGATTTGAAGCAGAGCTGATGTCCTCGTACAGGTGGCAATGCTTGATGAATCAGAAGTGGATACAACTGTTGAAATTGGAGGTGAATTTGAAGCTCAAAGAAAAACCCAGTGAAGACTAATTGGATTTCCTCTCAGTGTAACATTCAGTATCTTCTTAAAACGCCAATAAAATAAGCGTATTGTTGTGATGGCAGCTTCCTTTAGTCTCTCACTGACTGGAGGATAATAAAAAGGAATCATGCAAACACATATCCACTGTTCACTCGGAGCAAACTGAATCTGTCGTTTCGTCGCCGTGTGGGCAGGAAACAAGCTTCAAAATGATGGAATAAAGGGCGGATGATACACCGCTCGTATCACATGCTCTCCATGACATACATCCTGCTGCTTTTTAATCTCTGCTTCACTGTAACAAGATGATTTAAAGCCAGAGGACAGGGTGCGTTTAAATGGGCTTTAAATGCAGAGGAGGGTCTGACGTTTGCTCTGCTGTCAGGTTTATAGACAAATGGTGCAACTCAAGGACCGTACGTTTGTTTTCTTATGTCGTAGAAAACACCGTCAGACACTGTTGACCCGAGCCCATCCTAAAGACAACACAGGACAGACAGAAGCTGTGTTTGGTTTTAAATATGTGTTTGTGTTTTTAAACACACCTTCAGACTGCAAGAATCATGCGGCAAATGGGCATCAGATGCCAACACGTTTTGAAAGACCCTTATACAGTAGTTTCTCTGTGAGAGCATGTGGAGTCTTGATCTTATTATTGTCAATCTGAAGGCGTGCTTATCAACAGAAGCCCTCGTGTGTTTGAACGGTAAGACGGTATGAAGAATACTTCCTAAATGACCCAAGAAAGTTTGACATTGACTTCCTGAGATAGATGTTCTTCATTACCCTCCTAAAGCTGGGTTAATGAAGTGAAGTTATGGACTGCTGTCCTCTTTCTAAACGACCAGAGGACGAGCGGGTCATCATGAACACTGAGTCACACTTTATATTAGACTCATGAACTTCAGGGGGAACGTGGTTCAATCTGGAGGTCCTCTATTAAACACTCTGTGGGTTTGTGTGTGTGTGTGTGTGTGTGTGTGTGTGTGTGTGTGTGTGTGTGTGTGTGTGTGTGTGTGTGTGTGTGTGTGTGTGTGTGTGTGTGTGTGTGTGTGTGTGTGTGTGTGTGTGTGTGTGTGTGTGTGTGTGTGTGTGTGTGTGTGTGCACATTAATTCCAGCTGAAGATATACACCTTTAATATTGGTTTATGAATATCAAATGACTTCAACCCTTGGACAACAAGTGTGTGGAGTTAAAACCAGCTAGTGGGAACAATTCATAGTTTTTTCGTCTTTTCATGGGATTTGTTCAAATGAAAACATGGGAAAGCACATTTTAAACATTAATGTATACAGTTTCATACATGTCCCATGCTTTTGGATATCTAACTACTGTTCACTGGGACCAATGCTGAAGAGAGGGTCATCTTATTGTGTTTGCAAATCAATCTTTGATTCCCTTTTACCGTCTCTGAAACGTCTAAATCGTCTCAAATTCAACATATGGTGGTTTAATGGACGACAGTACCCTCTGCACCTTCGTTCAGATGTGAGAAAGGACATAAGGAACCAGTAAAAGTGGAATAAGTTGTTATGAATCATTCCCTGTCCTCTATCTGACCTAATGTGTTTGTGGACTATAAAAAGTACATTTAGAGAAGTTTAAATCTCTACAATCCTCCTCCAAAAACCCCAGACTCCACCTTTCCCTTTACAAGCAACTCTTCACCACTCCCTGTGAAGCCCCTCTTCCTGTAGGTGTGAGTGATATGACTTCAGATGTCTCATTCATGCTCAGAAAGCAACACACATCCACTGAAGCCCTGTTTGAAATGCTGGTTGTTCCAGCGCTGCGTTAGTGGTGATTTAGTGCTTGGCTTGCACCCTGGGAAAAAGACTCAGAGAGGAATACAGTCTGTCTGCTAATACGTTCCATATGTGGCATGAGAGGAAGCCGTTAGCATAGCATAGCATTGGTTCCTTCAATTATGCTAATGAGGTTTTAATGAGCGTGACTCGAATGTGTTTCTGATCATAACTCCTGCTGTATGAACTGATTACAGAAACATGTGGTCTTCCTCAGAGAGGCAACAGTACGTCCTTTACTCACGTAGAAGTACAGATACTCGTGTTTAAATATACTCTGGTGAAAGTAGAAGTACTGACTCAACTTCTTTACTCAAGTAAAAGTAAAGAGACTTTGAGATGTTGTGAAAGTTCAGGTATTTGTGTTCAACATGTAAGAAGTAGAAAGTACAGGTATTTGAGTTCAACATGTAAGAAGTAGAAAGTACAGGTATTTGTGTTCAACATGTAAGAAGTAGAAAGTACAGGTATTTGTGTTCAACATGTAAGAAGTAGAAAGTACAGGTATTTGAGTTCAACATGTAAGAAGTAGAAAGTACAGGTATTTGTGTTCAACATGTAAGAAGTAGAAAGTACAGGTATTTGTGTTCAACATGTAAGAAGTAGAAAGTACAGGTATTTGAGTTCAACATGTAAGAAGTAGAAAGTACAGGTATTTGTGTTCAACATGTAAGAAGTAGAAAGTACAGGTATTTGGGTTCAACATGTAAGAAGTAGAAAGTACAGGTATTTGGGTTCAACATGTAAGAAGTAGAAAGTACAGGTATTTGTGTTCAACATGTAAGAAGTAGAAAGTACAGGTATTTGTGTTCAACATGTAAGAAGTAGAAAGTACAGGTATTTGTGTTCAACATGTAAGAAGTAGAAAGTACAGGTATTTGTGTTCAACATGTAAGAAGTAGAAAGTACAGGTATTTGTGTTCAACATGTAAGAAGTAGAAAGTACAGGTATTTGAGTTCAACATGTAAGAAGTAGAAAGTACAGGTATTGTGTTCAACATGTAAGAAGTAGAAAGTACAGGTATTTGTGTTCAACATGTAAGAAGTAGAAAGTACAGGTATTTGGGTTCAACATGTAAGAAGTAGAAAGTACAGGTATTTGAGTTCAACATGTAAGAAGTAGAAAGTACAGGTATTTGTGTTCAACATGTAAGAAGTAGAAAGTACAGGTATTTGTGTTCAACATGTAAGAAGTAGAAAGTACAGGTATTTGGGTTCAACATGTAAGAAGTAGAAAGTACAGGTATTTGGGTTCAACATGTAAGAAGTAGAAAGTACAGGTATTTGTGTTCAACATGTAAGAAGTAGAAAGTACAGGTATTTGTGTTCAACATGTAAGAAGTAGAAAGTACAGGTATTTGTGTTCAACATGTAAGAAGTAGAAAGTACAGGTATTTGTGTTCAACATGTAAGAAGTAGAAAGTACAGGTATTTGTGTTCAACATGTAAGAAGTAGAAAGTACAGGTATTTGAGTTCAACATGTAAGAAGTAGAAAGTACAGGTATTTGTGTTCAACATGTAGAAGTAGAAAGTACTGGTATTTTGTGTTCAACATGTAAGAAGTAGAAAGTACAGGTATTTGAGTTCAACATGTAAGAAGTAGAAAGTACAGGTATTTGTGTTCAAAAGGTAAGAAGTAGAAAGTACAGGTATTTGAGTTCAACATGTAAGAAGTAGAAAGTACAGGTATTTGTGTTCAACATGTAAGAAGTAGAAAGTACAGGTATTTGTGTTCAACATGTAAGAAGTAGAAAGTACAGGTATTTGAGTTCAACATGTGAGAAGTAGAAAGTACAGGTATTTGAGTTCAACATGTGAGAAGTAGAAAGTACAGGTATTTGAGTTCAACATGTAAGAAGTAGAAAGTACAGGTATTAGTGTTCAACATGTAAGAAGTAGAAAGTACAGGTATTTGAGTTCAACATGTAAGAAGTAGAAAGTACAGGTATTAGTGTTCAACATGTAAGAAGTAGAAAGTACAGGTATTTGTGTTCAACATGTAAGAAGTAGAAAGTACAGGTATTTGAGTTCAACATGTGAGAAGTAGAAAGTACAGGTATTTGAGTTCAACATGTAAGAAGTAGAAAGTACAGGTATTTGTGTTCAACATGTAAGAAGTAGAAAGTACAGGTATTTGTGTTCAACATGTAAGAAGTAGAAAGTACAGGTATTTGAGTTCAACATGTAAGAAGTAGAAAGTACAGGTATTAGTGTTCAACATGTAAGAAGTAGAAAGTACAGGTATTTGTGTTCAACATGTAAGAAGTAGAAAGTACAGGTATTTGTGTTCAACATGTAAGAAGTAGAAAGTACAGGTATTTGTGTTCAACATGTAAGAAGTAGAAAGTACAGGTATTAGTGTTCAACATGTAAGAAGTAGAAAGTAAAAAGTCCTCAGAAAAATAAGTAGTGGAGTAAAGTACTGATACCAGAAACATGTACTTAAGTACAGGAACAAAGTATTTGTACTCCATTTCTTCTTCCCCTAACAGACGGAGAACGATCTGTGGGAGGCGTGGAACAAATCGGGGCATCAAGGGAACAAGTGGAACCGAGCTGAGGTTCCTCTGAGGAACCTGAGGAACTTCCAGGTGATTTTTGAAGGGATTCGATCCATGGACGTGATCGGAGGAGCTTCACTGGACGACCTGGAGTTTAGAAACTGTTCCCCAAGTAAGTGATGCTAACAACAGGTTGTGTTGTAGCTCCTCTCCTGTGACGTGTCTCCATGCTTCAATGTTCAAGATTCAAGATTCAAGATATGAATTGTCATATGCGCAGTAAACAGACAGTGACACCGTACAATGTTCAGAAAGCTCTTTCTCTCATACTGCCTGTGCTGCAGCACCTCTTTTCACCCTCTGTCTGAAACCAGAGCCCAGCCTGCTCAGGGAGGCGTGTGGTGCAGTGGGTTGTGCGTTGGTTGGTGTTGGGAACAGGGGAGCTCAGGTTCAAACCCCACTGCAGTCAGCATGTCGTTGTGTCCCTGAGACACTTCACCCCAAAGTGCTCCTGTGGGGATTGTCCACAGTATTGAGTATGTGGATAAAAGCGACTAACAAGTGACATGTAATGTCATGTAATGCTCTGATTGGTTAGCTGGCCGGCTCTGTTGTGATTGGTCAACCAACTTACAGATGTCCCGCCCATTAGCCTATCACTTCAGGTGTGAGAGTGTCAGTAAAGTTGTGATTTTAGCCTTTGCAGACCATTTACATGCACAAAAACCTATAGAACTCAGAGAGGCAAAACGCCACCTTTAAATAGATTATTAGTGCACTTTTGCTTTAATATTCTTGCATTTTGCCAAGTTTTCACAGGAAACTCAGTATTCTTTATAGCCACGTTTAACTTTTCACAGTTAGATATAGACTGGTATAAAGTGCTGACTATCAAAACTGCAGTCAAATCACTTTCATGATTAATGTTGGCACTCTGCACAAAGCAGCCTGTACACATGCAGAGTTTTAAAGAGCGGTAACTACTCTCCCAGGTGTTTAGGGTCATTTCTGGCATCACACAAACTTTCCACTCAATTTCTGTACGATAAAATGCTGCTCTGTGAACACACACATCTGTATCTCAGAAGGACAGAGGTTGTTGTTTCACACTTTGATATTCAGACGGGTGTCAGACATTAAACAGACCTGGATGTTTCCGTTGCTCTGCCAAGACTCAGATATAAACACACTAACACACAGAGACATGAACTCACTGATCAAAAGCAGGAGGAAGGAGATCTCGTGGAATATAATGTTCTTCTTCTGTGTACCCTCTTTGGAGCAGGACGATTTTAAATAACACACAGTTTGTACGACGTTTTATTTTCCATTGAAGCCGGATTTGATTCATCTGAACGGAAAGAGGAGATGGTTTCCAGTCGAGTGGCTCGCTCTTAGAAAACACTTTCAACATGTGTGTGTGTGTGTGTGTGTGTGTGTGTGTGTGTGTGTGTGTGTGTGTGTGTGTGTGTGTGTGTGTGTGTGTGTGTGTGTGTGTGTGTGTGTGTGTGTGTGTGTGTGTGTGTGTGTGTGTGTGTGTGTGTGTGTGTGTGTGTGTGTGTGTGGTGTGTGTGTGTGTGTGTGTGTGTGTGTGTGTGTGTGTGTCAGACGCTGTGCAGCCCCCCAGTTGTCCTGCCCTCTCAGACTTTGTGTGTGACAGTGGACCACTGCATCGAGTCTCACCTGGAGTGTGACAGCAAGGACGACTGTGCCGATGGATCGGATGAGAACACACTGCGGTGAGGAAGAACTGGAGATAGGTCTGGGACACATCGTTTTTAAATAAACAAGACGCTAACAAACCTCATTCTTGTGTTCCTCTCGTGTTGGTCTGACTAACTTTTAAACAAGAGAAAGAGAGCACAAACCTGTGTCTTTAGAGTTGATTTAAAGTCCTTGTACTGGTTTATAAAGCTCTGAATGGTCTGGCCCCCTCTGTCCTCACTGATGTGTTGTCCTTTAATGTCCCTGTACCTTGTCCCTAAGATACTCAGCACACCTTCCAATTAACAACATCCCTCTCTAATTGGTCTTTTCATCTTGTATTTTCTTTACTTCAGGCGTCTGTGACTTCAGCATGGGAGCAGCGTGGTGGGAACACAGCTGTGGGTTGGACCAGGACTCTGAGGATGATTTTGATTGGTCGATCGGTCGTCACAGTGAGACTCCAGGAGCCGGACCTCAGAGTGACCACAGTCCAGGTGAGTGTACCTGAAAAACTCACAATGCAGGTGGTTCGAGGGCACAGTATGTTTTGATACATGCAGAGAATACAACCGTCAACATGTCTAACAGTATTTATAAGATGTTTTGATTGTGTTGTATGCCAGATCTTAGTTATTATATATCCTCCTTGTTGTTGCGAACCAACGTCGAAAAAATCATCTTGTTTTTATGTTTCTGAGCTCACTCCTGATTGGCCGGTAGAGTTTGTCGATCTGAGCGATGAGACGTGTCACAGAACGAGTTTATGACCTCGGTGCAGAGCGAGTCGATAAAACCAGCCATCTATAGCGCACACACACACACACACACACACACACACACACACACACACACACACACACACACACACACACACACACACACACACACACACAGACTCATACACACACACACACACACACACACACACAGAGACACACACACAGACACAGACACACAGACTCATACACACACACACACACACACACACACACACACACACACACACACACACAGAGACACACACACAGACACAGACACACAGACTCATACACACACACACACACACACACA